GTTTTTTACCTAAATTTAATTCTAGTACTCAAGTATATTAAAATAAACACATAATCATATGTATGTTGTACCAATAGTGGTGGCTTGCAATATTTATGTTTATATAGCAAAATTTGAAATCATTGATTAAGATTTTCTTAAGAAATAAAACTTACTCACTTAAGTGACAAAACGTCTGCAACGCGAAAAGCCGTGGTTGCAAATTCAAACTTACTTTAGTCATTGAATTATTCTTTCTATGTTTTATATTCGAAATTTAATTCAAGTATAAACTCAACATCATTTTTATATTAAAAAACATTATATTAAGATTTTATTGTATTACAGTGTAGAAAAGAATATACGCAGATAAAACTGAACACATTGATGCTTCCCTGTTATAAATTTGGTTATTATAACATGGAAACATTATTGTAAAGCGAGACGAAAATTCATTGAGTAGTTTAAAAGATTAACTGTAATCCACATATTAACTTTTAGAAATATTTAATTTCATTATTATTTACAAAATACTAGTTTGTTTACTTCGATTGCGTACATAAACATAAATCTTTTTTTAATAATCTTCTCTACCTATTCTTCCTTATTATTTAATGATCTTTTTTACTATAGAACAGTAAAAAAATCAAATTAACATCATACAAGTTCTTTCCGCACTCGTATATTAGCAATATAAACATAAGAATAAGCGTTAACATATACATAATTTAATATTCGTCTTATGGTTTCAGGGAAGTTTATTTATTCATGATCTAACTTCGTATTGATTTATGTATGACATTTTGTAATATATAATATTGATAATAATATAGTTTAGACCAAATCATTCTAATGTGAATGTAACATATAAAGTTTTGTATTGGGATAAATCACACCAATTTGTTCGCTTCGAAGTAATTAATATTTACGGATTAAAAATACTCATAGAAATGAACGCTAGTAAAATAAAACTTATATATTTTTTATAAAACCATACTGTATACGACGGAACTCGTAAATATTAAGCAGCTTCTGAATTTAATTCACAAAACTTCTCCGATGTTTGACGGAGACAAATAGCGCCATTTGTACGTAGCCTTTATCCGTGGTATTTTTTTACTCGGTATACAATAGCAATTTTTATAATACATCACAGGAAGATATGACACAATATAGCTTTATAGCTCTTTTACTTGGTTATTATTCCAATTTGAAGCTTTTTCATATTTAGTACGCTTCTGTTACCCAAACGTTCCAGCCTAAATTACTTTGGCTGCACTCCTAATGTTTCCTCCCAGCGAATTTGAATGACTATCTATGTAATAACCGGCCTTTGTTTCGTTGGCACTGTATCGCGGCGATACTGTTTATCTATATTAACCCGTATCTTCCCAAGTCCTCAAAACTCATCTGATTGAAGCGAAACTTTCAGAATCATTTGTTAGTAGCCTAATTATCGATAATATGCAACAAAAAAAAAAAATTTCGATTTCCGGTATTTCAGTTACAGTACCGATCCAAAAATGGAACAGTAGGAGAATATGCCACTGTATTTTATTGTTGGTATTGTGTGCTTTTTAGGAAGATTGCTGTAAATAATGAAAGATATTTATGAATAATCTTATTTATTTTTAGTATATAATTTTAGTATTTTTAGTATTTTATATAACATTTAGTATAACATTTAGTATTACAATTTTATTTCGTATGAAACGCAGGAGAACACTTTTGGTGTAGGGCGACGTTGCATTTGCCACATTTCATTGTCGTGTTTTTATGACATAAACCACAACGGTTTTGTTTATCACTTTTGATAATATGGTGTGCCTTTCCATCTAACCTAATATCAACTGGAACTCGTTTTATGACTGCTAGAGATGATCTTGGAATAGGCTTCTTTACTGAAGAAGAATTTTCAGGAAAAGTCTGAAGATATGTTGTTACAACATGTCTTGTAAATGACAAATAGTCATGCTGATTGTTTTGTGAAGCTGGCGATAATTTATATAACTGAAAAGCATTATTCATACATACATTTATAGGAAACATAAGTAGCTGCCAGTACCACCTCTTCAGGCGTATAGAAATACGATAGCATCCCACATTTTGATCCAAACGGTCGACACCGCCCATATATTTGTTATAGTTGACGATGCAGCGAGGTTGGTCGACGTCTTTCTTCTGCTTGTCACAGTAACGTTTTACCTTAGCTAAAGGCTCCACACCACATTCGGTTGAGGCAACGGTAACAATATTGTTGTCATTGTAACGTACGAGGGTGATGTTCGTCAGAGTATCTGTACACTGGTCAAAAGACCCTCTGCTCATTTTCTTCATATCTTTCGCTTCTTTCAAGGGTGCCTTTTCTACCCTATTTGCCCTAACCGTTCCCGTCGCATCGTGTCCTAATGTTTTTATTTCATCCAACAAGGGTAAAGATGTAAAATAGTTGTCCATATAAAAGCTGTAAGTACCGGGCGGCAATTTGGATATGAGGTCTAAAACAACAGAAGCACCTACACCAAGTTCTGGGTGGGTATTTCCTGTGCTTGCCCCTTGATAAAGCTCTCCATATATCAAATATCCAAGACGAGTACATATAGACCAATTCTTATAACCGAACCGAATGGGTTTACCATGAATATGTTGCTTCGTCCCATGTTTCCCGAAATATGGAATCATGGATTCATCAATGCTTAGATTCCTGTCACCGGGATAATATTTTACCCATCTCTTATTGAGTAGATTCCAGAGAGGACGAACCTTCGCGAACTTGTCCTGTGGAGCTAAGTTATTATTATCGGCGACGTGAAAGAATCGTAATAGTTCTTCAAATCTGTTCCTAGGCATAGCAGCTGCCACACCTTGAAAATTACAATCAACACTTTGCTCCCAGTACATACGATATCTAGCAACACTGTTGTAACCAGACAGCAAGAGAATCCCTATAAATCGTTTTATTTCCTCAGTTGTAACTTTGAAATTGTGGTAACCTTTTTGAATAGCATTTTTTTCGGTTTCAGAGCGAATCAATTCAAAAACGTCTTCGTCAAAAAAAAGTTCAAAAAAGTGAACAGGAGTATCTAGGTGTTCTAAGAAATGTGGTGGCTCTGATGTTTTCTCTGTCTTCACTGGAATATCTACTTTCCTCCACTTTCGGGTAGCTGGACATTTTTTTTTCTTTGCCGGTGGTTGTACTGATAAGTCGCCGTGTGTATTATTATCTATAGAAACTTCATTTGATACGCTTTCTATAATATCTAAATTAGACTGTGAAGATACAGTAGCCCTAAACTCAGCCTGTGCTAAGAGCTGCTGCCTGGACAGGTGATTTATGTTCGAAGACTCCTCATCTCCACTGTCTTCATCACTTTTGTCGTAATTATCTGGGGGTGTTATGTAAATATCTGCTGACAATACGTCATCGTTGTCTTCAAGATGCGATATTATGTCATTTACCGACAATCTAAAACAAAATAAACGCAAAATTCAAAAATAACAATTATGTCACTACATAAAATGTTCCATATCCATATTATCCTACTGATCCATTATTGGATCGGTACGTATAAAAGTAAAAAATAAATGTAAATAAGCTAAATGTGCATTTCACTGTCTTGCAATATGATAACTCAACTCCTAGCCGATATAAATACGATACGATACAATAATTATAAATTATCTAAAAAAAAAAACAAGAAATACTTACATTCGGCGATGAGACATTTTTTCACAATTTCCAAAAAATTCAGTGCGTAACAAAACACAAATTTCGCGGCCCACCGAGGATCTGACAAGTGAATATGGCGGCAAGAACTGTCAGTGCTGCCACCATAGACAAAAAAAATGGCTGCGTTCACGAAATTTTAGTAAAAAAAATATTAAACTAACCGATCCAATAATGGATCACTGGGATGATACGGGTTAATGAAGGATCGAATGTTACTTTTGTTCTCGATTTGTTTATCATTCAGAAACAGAAACAACGAAATGGAGTTGTGGTCTAAATGATATTTATTTTAAATGTTTTCAGCGATTCGGCGATTTTCTTGTATTTTATAAAGAAGCTAGAAATTATAATTAATGAACGTCTGAGTAAAAATAAGATATTCTAATTTTTTTAATCACAAACACACATGTAGAATTTAAGATCTCGAAACTATTAATGCGAATAAGATATAAGACTTTCGCAAGTATTCATTTAAATGAAACTAATATTTTTCTGATATACTACGTGTGCTTTATTTTTGTAAAAAACGTGTTCTTACTCCTGACGTTACACATTCTCATCTCGTCTATCCGTGATCACGGTTACTGAAAAGTACTGAAACGTCGGCAGTATGTAGTTTTTTACATAAATAAAGCACGCGTAGTATATCCGAAAAATAGGGAATAATAACACGAAACACCGTCATACTTTCTTGAGTTTACATCTCATATTTTTTTATTATTAAATCACAAACTGTATTCAATGAAGCTGTCTCCAAAAAGGAAATTCTTATAAGACCTCGTAGGTACAATATATTAAGATTTGTCAATAGTTCATTAGTATTCAGTAAATATACCAACATCCTTCATCATATCTTCCAAGAGATTTATTTTCGCTTACTTAACTCCAGTGACGCTCTGATTTATGATAATCTAATTTCAATAGCTATATTTACCGATAAATGATTCATTACTTACATATTATGGTTTATAAAAGATATAACTGGGACTGACTCCACGAAATAGTTGATCGTAATAATGATTTTAAAATTAATGCCACATTGAACTGAAGCTTCAAATAAAATTGAATGAGACGTTTTTCTATTTCAAATCAATTATTATTTGTATATATAAAGCAATTGTATTGAAATATTACCACACTATAAAAGTCACGTGTTAATAATATTTGTCAAGAATATTCACATATGAATATAGCTAAAACAATTTTAAAATACGTCCGAACCAAAACACGAAGACCTACAAGCTTTGTGAATTAGCCCTCACATATAATGTCCTTTGTCAATTTGTTTCAGATCCGTACAAAGCTTCTAAAGTCCAGTGCAATGAATCGATAGTGCTGTCACACTTGCACCCGCAGGCTACAATCTCGAGCCCCGGCTTCCCTCGCCCCTATCCCGACGACGTGCATTGTGTTACAGAGATCAAAGCACCGCCTGCCCACACTATACGATTACATTTTGAGGAACTGCTCACCGAACACGAACCTCAGTAAGTATGTTTTATAAAACTTATTCATCTAAATTGCAGACAAAAACGGGAGTTATTCATAGTATAAATACAAAAATTACCCCATCTGAGTATAATCATCACTTAATTTGTTGTGATTCATTTTAAAATGTATATAACAACTAAAGACTATTTGTCTTCAGTCCTAACTACGTTGTAAATATTGTTTCCAAACCCATTATTTCTTGATTTAATTTATTTAAGTCGATGAACGTTAACTTGAAAGACAAATATATTTTATTGCGCTACGAATTTCATGATAATGAGTTTACTTAGAATTGCAAGTTCGTGGATTGCTAAAGTTTTATATTTACGAATTGTACAATATAATACATGATAGGTTAAAAGGAATGTTATACTATATTATTGTTGTTCTAAACTAGTAAGTGGTTTTAATATAGCTTATATATAAAACTTTAAAACATATATGAAAGAAACATTTAACCACCCTGAGTTACCTTAAAGAGATTCCTCACCATATTCGAACATTAAAATCCATACGCCTGATATGGATTTGCATGTTTAAATGTCAGCATATATTTCTTAATAACGAATAATTTAACTTCGTTTTTACTATGATATCGTTCATAAAAACTCACTATCTTTGTTATAGCAAATTTTCAAGCAAGCTATCTAATGTTATATTTTAATAATCCAGCGTAATACTACATTATGTTTTATTTTTAATATCTTTATGTTAATTATCTTTAACACTAATGTAAAACCGTCGTTTATGACTGAAGATACGTTTAAGGTCGTAGCGGGACATAGTTGACATTTAAAAGGCAAGTTATAACATTGTAGCTTTATTTATACACTAAGTTTTGGCTTAGTGTGGCTCACTCTCTCGAGAAATTATTTTGGAATGAATATCCTTTGGGAACTATTTCTTTACCTCTATTAAAGTATACGTCATTTGGCTTAAAACAATTTAATATTTCGTCACAACGAAATTAAAATTAAATTATATAGTAATGTTAAATGAACCTTTCAGTAATATTTCCTTAATAAAATATTTAATAACAGCTTTACGATGGTGCAGCTTATGTTATGTAAATTGGGTTATAAAATTGAGAACAAAAAGATTCAGGCTTCAGATGAGAGACATTGTGGTTAAATTGAATTTTATTCCATACTTTACATAACAAAGCTGTTACATATTATACAAAGAAACGGATATTTTACTTCAAATAACATATAACATACATGCCATTGATGGTGAAAAGCTTGATTACCTTACGAGTTTATAAGTTTATTGTTTCTTTTATCTAGAAAAATTATCATTTAGAATTAAATTAACGACCTCTAAGAGGTATTCAGAATCACAGAGCCCTGAAAGTTTTTTTTCACCTAAATATAAAATACACAATTTGTAGGCTATTACATGAAGTGGTCAAGGTGCTATTGGATGTGGCTTTATGTGTTTTGAGGTCACGATGTCATGTCATGGCCATGTAATGAAGAAGTACAAATAAATTATTATTATCAATTAATGATATCCTTTTAATAGTAAACTGCAAAACCTAAATGTCTAAAATTTATGAATATTGATGTGAATAAAATCCCGAAGAAATATACACTTCATGAAAGAAATATGAGGTTATGGTATGGTTTATGTTAAAATATATTTTATTTTATTTTTGAAAAATTGTCTTTTCTAGGGAAAAGGCTATAATGCTTTTTTTACTCGAAGAAAAAATATATGAGATATGAATCCTGAGAAAAAATGGATAAAATTTCACGAGGCAAATACATTGAATTATTTTTTGTAAACCAGTTGCAGTCAATTTTCCCGAACAATTCCCAGATCTAATACCTAGGAAATCCAGATCCATCCCTCTTCAAGTAATACTTAGCTTACAGATTTGGTAGTCGTGCGGATGGACTCGATAAGTGGTGGTGCAACAACAAAACTGGTTGGAAAACAGTCCTAGCCATCAATCAGTTCTGTACAAGGAAAAGCTCACTTCAAGCCTCTTCCCCTCTTCAATATAGCATTAGATCAAAATCTTTTATCCAGAACTAGTTGCTCGTCTCATTTACTTCCAAAATTCTCATCCGATAAATCTAACTTACTGTCAAACTTTTTCACGCTGAAATATTTTTAGTTCAAGGAAAACTTTTTGGATGTCCGAAAAAATACCAATGATATACAATTTTATTCTAGTGAGATTTAATACTAAGGCAGTATAGAATATAATGATACATTCCATAGGACAGTTAAATATTATGGGGTATCTATTTATAAATCATAACCATGACCGTCAATCTGAACGCAACTCTTCTCTATAAAGCACTAACTACATGAGTCTTCAGCCGCTCTCATCCATCCGTTGTCGACCATTTCCTTCATGTCCTCATTTCTTTCTAATGTAGGGCATTCTTCTCAATGTTTGTCTAACCTTGTTCTTCACTCTAGCTACTTTTAGATATGGCCAGAACAATATCAAATCCACCGGACTTTAGTTTTATAGGAAAATACTTTAGTCCAAATTTTGTTTGCCAAAAAAACTTTGAAACGTACGGCTCCATAGCTCGTTAAGTGCTCTTAAAAGAACAAACCAGATCTGTTAATGAACAGTACAACTATAAGGCTCTACTACTTTGAATTTGTTTAAAAACTTTTATACTTTAAAGAGAAAACTACATCGTAATGCTGACTTTAAACGCGGTTCATATTTGATTATTTTAACGTCTTTATTTTATGAAATGTATCTGTTAAAATTTTCTCAGCCAAATAAACCTAAAACTGTTAAAGATAAAAAATCCTTTTAACCTTATTCACGTCAAATGTTACAACTTTTTCTCCTTATCTGATTTTCATCCTCGATAAATTCTAAATAACATTTGTAATTCTAACAGCAAAAATATTTTCAGTTACATTGTAAACGTTCTGAAACGAATTTCCACGGATGAAACATCCGCTATTTTATTTTTCCGTCAGAAGTTCCTTGAATTTTTTTTGCCAAATAAAATAGTGGAAGTTAATCTCATTTTTTATGTCATCATAAAAATAATTTATCCTTCTAATTTTCTGAACTATTCTTGTTTTCTCAACATGGTGCAAAAAAACTGTTATTAATTTCTTTCATATCTCAAAAAAAGTTTTAACATTCTTATTTCTATTTACAAAAACCTTAAAGCGACTTGAATTATTGACTCCAAAGTATTGTTATTACACAATATTCATTCCTATTTAATATCAAAAAAGACAATGCCTCTTAATAAAATTTGAATTTGATTTAAGTTAATTTTATCAGACTGTTTGTTTTTCATAAAAATTTTATATCATTTGTTTCTTTCTAAGAAATTGTGTCAGAAATTTCCGTCATTTAAAATAGTTAATTTCATTCTACAACAAACACCTAAGAATGGATAACGCTTAAAAGATTACAAAACATAATTCATTTCCTGCTCCACCTAATCCCACCAAGAGCCTTTGTAAGTCCCCGTTCATCTTAGAAACACTCTAGTTATATAAATGATAAAATGTTTCAACTTTTTCAAATGGCTTTTTAATATATTTCTATATTTATTTTAAATAGTCAAGATTTTTCTAACGGGGCTATATATTGCAACAATACTTTACGATCTATTAAGCTTATTAACATGAGCAGAATTTAATCTTTGACTGCTTGAACACATGTCTAGAATAAAATTAAAAGTTTATATATTATGAAAACCTATTAACCTATATATCGTGTAACTTATTAAAAGAAATACAAAGTTTAGCATCTAATATAATTCGAATATATTTATGGCTGTATTTTGTTCATATAATGAGATCTAAGAATTTAGCAAGTACTCATTAAATGAAACTAATATTTTCGGATTTACTACACATTTTTTTTATTTTTGACTTTAAACTACATACTCCCGACCTCATACTCACACCTCACTGATCATGGGTAGACGAGATGTATTTTTTTTGTTACTTATTTTATTACATAAATATGATATAAATAACAAAAATGGCTTGTTTTTGAGGACTGATAACGACATTACATCATTAACACCACCCTCCGTTCATTAAATTATTTTTTATGTACAATAAAACATGTAATCAATTAATAAAAATCCTCTTAATAATACAAGAGCAAAAACCTTAAGATGTATAAGAAAAGGGAAAAGCACTACATTCAATATATAATTTGGTCGTCTTTTATATCTTGTACGGAATCTTATGAAATATGGATTACGTAAAGTATGAGCCGAAACATCTAACGTCTAACATATAACTATTATTTATATATTTATCAATGTCTTAATATGACTATTATTTACGTACTTTCTTTATGAATAGGTATTTTATAAAGCTATCGCTCCATTATACTAAAAAGACAAAAATATCTGTAATAATAAGGGAGCGTCCTATAAATCACAAGATAAAGAATACATCTTCCGTTAAACAACAAGGATACAGATGTCGGAGAAAAATGTCCGCCATTTTATAGCAAAGAAAAAAAACGTTTTGTCTCTGGAAGTTGAAAAACTTCTTACTCCGTATTGTTGGCGTAATTTCTATCTTTCATTGCTAATAATTTTTCTTTAATACAATAGTGCTTATAACAGAAAGATATATAATTCGTTGTATCAAAATATTTTAAGTCAATAAATTCAATAACCTTATTTAAATACTGTTTGTTTATATATATATATATAAATCAATGAAACATTTCCCTATTTTGGTTTAAAAAATCTACTCAAAGTTACTTTAAGAACTCTTTTGGGATTAGGGTCTCGTGGAGATCAAGTTGTAAAAATATCCTTTTTTATATTGACTTGATAGTGATTGACTGTCATAAAACTAATACTCTAAAGTTATACTAAAAGTAGATATAGTATTCGTTTTATGTATAAAACTTTTATACATAGAAGCATGTTTACATGTAGGTGAGATCATTTCTTTTTATTCCTCTCAAATAACACAAACCGTCATTGCCCTTTGATTCATCAACAGATTTATCATAGAGTCCATTCAA